TTATTCAATGAAATTCATACAATGAATGTATTGATGATTGTTAGATTCATTAAGGTGAATCATGTTATTGTTTGTTTTTTTTGTATCAGTGGAAGAAACTCTGTTGTTGAGCGCTACTACTATTTATTCGATTTTAATTGTTCATGTTGTTCACAAATAGAAGGTTTGCTGTCTGTAAAATGTAAGCAAATCGTACATCCTTATCCAAATGAGTATGTAGTCACTCAAAAATGGAGATTGTGAAAGAACTAATTGATCAATTTTCTGATTTGGTGATAATTATGAGTGAACAATAATTTTCAAAGGCTTGTTAAAAAATTTGAAATAATTTGATGAACATGAGCATTAAATTGGATTCCTCGATTAATTTCCAATCGAGTGGTTATCTAACATTCTTGAGTTAATATGGTGAAAAATAAACTGATGTTGAAGAAACAAGGCTTGTTAAAAAAATATTTTGAATTGAATAATTTAGTGATAGATTTTAGATGGAGCACTATTCTTTCCAAATAATTGCTTCAATTTGGCAGATGCAACAAAAGCAGTATTTTCCTTCTTAAAAGTGGTCACCATTGTTCCTTTAGTGTTTTGTTGTGTAGAATTAATTTCATTGGAAATGTCGTGCAACTCATCAGAAATTTGTCTGGTTCTGAAATCCATTATCAAATCAATCATATAAACAATACCAATCACTATCAAGAAGCTTATCATGATCAAAAAGTGAGAAATTGATGAGGAATAGGAGAATTGTTTTGCATTCATTTGGTCAGTTCTTCTCAAAATAACAAGCATAACAAAGTAAGCAATAATAGAAATACCCAATGCAAATACAGACACCAATAGGATGGTATTATTCTTGAAAAGACGAATTCCTCTACTAGTTGCCTTTTCTAACTTTTGAGAAATTACTGCCGACATCCACTGATAGTAGTATCTGTACATTATATATCTAATACACACTACCATGTAAGAGCAAATAGCCACAGCAGTCAAACTTGTTGTTACAACCAAGCTAATACTATTGATAATGTTTGGAGTGTTATTGCTAGAGACTAGCTCATCGAGTGGCACATTAATAGTAGCTGCTTTAGAAGCAATACCAGTAAATGCCAAATCAACAAACAGGGCAATCAATCCAACAAATGGGAAGATGTATCTGCTTTTCACAGGTTGCATCTTTCTGAAAATGATAAGACCAACCATTACAGATACTATCAGCAAAAGTAGAATACCAGAAATGACAATCTTGAAAATGACCAGACCACTATCCAATGCCTTGAGAGCAGTGTTCTTGTTGGTAGGACTTGTTGAGTTTGTAGGATTGTTGGGATCTGTTGTTGGATCTGTTGTTATTGGATAATATTCCACAAATGCTGAAAAGCTTGTTGTATGATCACAAGAGCAAGTAATAAACTTGTCATCCTTGCCGACCAATTTACATCCATTTGTCCTCCATCCACTGGTTGTTGTATTATAGTATCGGCAAGTGAAATTTTGTGTAAAATTGCTGTTAAATATTGTAAGGTTGTTGAAAAATGGAAAGGAGAGTATTATTGGATTTTGTAACTCACTAAGAGGATCATATTCACCATCAACTAATCTTCTCAGCTCTACAATATTGGCAGCAGAACGTAAACCAGTGGTATTACTATCTGGTAGCAATTCAAAGTCGATCCCACTAGAATAGGTAACGAGTGTGAAATCAATATTGTCACTGGAGAGAAGAGATGATGGCACTTGGACTTGAGTCTCACCAAGTTGCATGTCTGGCTGATGAGAAACAATTAAATTGAAAGCACTATTTTCTACCTTGATTGTTGTTGTTGTTGATTCGAGTGCTCTAATAAGTGAGAGCAATGATGCTGATGAATAGATGGTATTCCTAATATTAGAGTTGTGTGAATTTCTTCTTATTGCACTAGCATTCACACTCAAACCAGAACCCAACAATATGGATGAACAGTTGAGAATATCACTAGCAACACCTCTCAACACATTGGTATCATTGATTGTATTGGTTCTAACTTGGTCCAAGAGAGGAATGGACATGTTCAATAAACCTTCAGAGATGGATACAACCAAATCATCCTCTTCCAATGATGTTGGTCGCTTGGGTTGTTGTCTACGAGAGGTTGCCAAGTAGGAACTGGATAGATGGACATAATCGTCCACATCTGCCTTGTTCAATTTCTTCTTTAGTGATTGAACGGCAGATAATACCTGACTCTTATCCAATGAAACAATATTCAGCAGCAAATCTCGAACATTCACAATGGTAAACTCCTCGAGTTCTTGTTGGGTGAGAAGAATTGCTTGGGCTGAATTGAAGACAACAACTTTGGACGAAGTAGAAAATACCAATCTTCCATACACGTAAACAC